ATAAATCAGTACTGAGTTACCTGGAAATTCCAGCTTAAGAAAAACAAAGACCCTGGTTTTATGTAGTTGGCTATCAGAATAATGCCCATAGCCCAAATATGCACCCAACTCAGGATCCATGAATCAATGTTTCGTCTCTCTGGTATGATCTTCCTACAGATGTATATAGAACTCACTCTCTTCTCTGCTCAGTCTTGTCAGGACCAAGAAAAATCTTCCCCTTTACCCTCTGAAGTTTTTCTCAAATATCAACTAACAAAAAACAGATTAATAGGAGAGAAAGGGAAACAAGTTTATTAACATGCATGAGGGAGACCACAGAGTAATTACCCCAACCCCAGCAGTGGGGTACAGAAGCTTAAATGCCATCTTAAGGTTAAAGAATGGGGGCTCAGAACATGGCCAAAAACAGGTTAGGGTAGTCAATCATGCAAGACAGGTTATGGGAGGGCTTTGCTAACAAAGGTGGTCTTGTTATGTAGATGAAAATTCATAGGTAGCAGCCCTCAAGAAGAATACATATATAGTAAATGTTTCTTTCAGACCTTTAAAGGTATCAGACTCAGACTTTTTTTTTTTTTTTTTTTTCCAGAGGGAGTCTCACTCTGCTGCCCAGGCTGGAGTACAATGGCACTATCTCGTCTCACTGCAACCTCCACCTCCTGGGTTCAAGCGATTCTTCTGCCTCAGCCTCCTGACTAGTGGGGATGACAGACGCCCGCCACCATGCCTAGCTAATTTTTGTGTTTTTAGTAGAGATGGGGTTTCACTATGTTGGCCCAGGCTGGCCTTGAACTCCTGACCTCAAATCCGCCTGCCTCGGCCTCCCAAAATGCCGGGATTACAGGCGTGAGCCACTGAGCCTGGCCCAGTGTCAGACTCTTAATCTTTCCTAGATTGGACAAGGTAAAGCCTCAGAAAAAAAACCTGGCAGAACCAAAGCAGTTTTTCTCAACAGATGCACATCTCCACAAAAGGCAGTTCTGTAGGGCAACTTCTGTTTGCAGACCCTCCAAAGAACCATCTCAAAATATGTCAAAGAAGTATACTCGCGGATGAAATAGTTGATTTCCTTCAGCCTTGTTGGCCTAAAAGAAAGATGTGGAAGCACAATTCATAATTTAAAGAATTTATGGTCGGGCGCGGCGGCTAACGCCTGTAATCCCAACACTTTGGGAGGCTGAGGCAGGTGGATCACGAGGTCAGGAGATGGAGACCATCCTGGCCAACATGGTGAAACCCCCTCTCTACTAAAAATACAAAAATTAGCCAGGCATAGGGACATGCGCCTGAAGTCCCAGCTGCTCAGGAGGCTGAGGCAGGAGAATCACTCAAACCCAGGAGGCAGAGGTGGCAGTGAGCCGAGATTGTGCCATTGCACGCCAGCCTGGGTGACAGTGAGATTCCATCTCAAAAAAGAAAACAGAATTGGGGCCAGGCACAGTGGCTCACGCCTGTAATCCCAGCACTTTGGGAGGCGGAGGCGGGCAGATCACGAGGTCAGGAGATGGAAACTCATCCTAGCTAACATGGTGAAACCCTGTTTCTACTAAAAATACAAAAAAATTAGCTGGGGATGGTGGCGGGTGACTATAGTCCCAGTTACTCGGGAGGCTGAGGCAGGAGAATGGCGTGAACCCAGTGAGCCGAGATCACGGCAGCCTGGTTGACAGAGCAAGCCTGGGTGACAGAGCAAGACTCCGTCTCAAAAAAAAAAAAAAAAGAATTTACTCGAACCAAAGTCAGGACAGCAGCTCAGAAATCTCAGGCCCAAGTAATCTTGGATATGAGCTCCACTGGCCTTTGTTAAAAATAACTTTTTAAAGACAAAAAAGAGGGGACAGAAGGTGGGCTGATACAAAATTTTTTGTCAGGAATTGTCATTGGTTTACAGAAATAGCATTAATTAGTTATTGGCTATACATTGTAAAGCTACGGGGTGTGGGTTACAGTGTAGGATGTGGCATTATTTGGTAAACTTATAGCTACTTATAAAAACAAGCAGTATCTAGAGATGAATATATATCTCAACGAGGGGAGTAGGTTGTGATTGTTGTCTCATTTTAGTGTTGCTGTGGGCCTGATCATTTAAAACGACTCCCATTGCTCAGATGAAAGTTATTTTATTGGCCTGGTGTGGTACCTCACGTCTGGTAGCCCCAGCACTTTTGGAGGCCAAGGTGACAGGATCCTTTGAGCACAAGAGTTTGAGACTAGCCTGGGCAACATAGTGAGGCCTTGTCTCTACAAAAAAAAAAAAAAAGTTATCTTCTTTTCTCAGTCTTATCTCACTTGTGAGTTCCTCCCCATCAACCCTTTTTAAAATTACAGCTGTCTACCACATTCCCTCCCATCCTCTGGCAGTCATTCCCTTTATCATTTTAACTTTTTTACATGTTCTTTACCTGAGAATATACTAAACTTTTCTTTTTCTTTTATTTTTTTGAGACACAGAGTCTTACTCTGTCACCCAGGCTGGAGTACAGTGGTATGATCTTGGCTCACTGCAACCTCCACCTCCCAGGTACAAACGATTCTCATGCCTCGGCCTCCAGAGAAGCTGGGACTACAGGCACATGCAACCACGTATGGCTAATTTTGGGGGTTTTTTTTTAGTAGAAATGGAGTTTCGCCATGTTGGTCAAACTGGTCTCGAACTCCTGACCTCAAGTGATCTGCCCACCTGGGCTTCACAGGCCATAGATTTTGTGTAACTTGTGTTTGTTTTTCCCAGATGCATCTTCAACCTTGGCAAAAATAAACCTGTGAATTTTTAGTTTACACTATCAGGGAGCGCAAAAGAAGTATGGAGAAGAGCTTTCACTCTTAAGGGCCTGGTGATGTACCAGAAGAATCTTAAAGCAATATGCTTTATCTATTTGTTTGCTGTCCCCAACATTGCCACCCCTGGAGACTCAAAGTACTTTTCCTTCATCTTCTAAATTCTCTAAAATTTTACTGTTCTTTGTGGAAGACACTACACAAAAGCTGGAATTCAAAGCCACCTCAATGTGTACTCATTCCCTGGGTGTCATTCATGTATATGTAATATATATGTTAATACACTTCTGCTTGTTTTTCATTTGTTAATCTGTCTTTTGTTACATGGTTTGTTTCAACTAAGAACCTATGTGGGGGGTGGGAGTTGAAGGGAAAATTATTCTGCCTTTTCTCCACCTTCATCTCCTATTGTCCCCTGCTCATTCCCCATGGTCACCATGGTACCTCAGCAGTCTCTCTCCTCTTCTCCCTGAACACATCCACACAAGTTGCTTCCTCACCTCTTTCAGCTCTTCGCTGAAATACTATCTTCTTAGTAGGGTCTTCATTAGTTGCCTTATCTAAATTTCAGCTTCCCATGACACTCTTTAGTCTTGCTTTATTTTTTTTTCCTTCTCACTATCTAACATATTACATATATTTACCTATCTAGCTTATTTTCTGTCTATTCCAGACTCAAATGTAAATTCCATGAGAGCAAAAATTTTGTGTTTTGTTCTCTGGGTGTATTTCCAACGCACAGCATCTGGTACATTGTAAATTCTCAACCAGTGTTATTTGCAGTAAATAAAAATCAATGTTAAAGAAATATGTCATCCAAAATGGATCATATTAAATTTTTAAAAAAGAAATACTATTTGTTATATAAGTAATGATGGCATCGTAATTTATTTTGTTATTTTTCAGATGGAGTCTCGGTCTGTCACCAGGCTGGAGTGCAGTAGCATGATCTCGGCTCACTACAACCTCTACCTCACAAGTTCAAGAGATTCTCCTACCTCAACCTCCCGAGTAGCTGGGATTACAGGCATGCACCACTAGGCCTGGTCCAGCTAATTTTTATATTTTTAGTAGAGATGGGGTTTCACCAAGTTGGCCAAGTTTGTCAAGAACTCCTAACCTCACGTGATCCACCCACATCGGCCTGCCAGAGTGCTGAGATTACAGGCGTGAGCCAAGGCACCTGGCCCATTATAAGGTGTTAAATAGCAGATGACATATATAAAATAGATGAAATGATGTTGAAATTGCCATTGCAAAATTGTAACTGAGACAGTCAAAGTGATCTGACCTAAGCAACTCCATCTTGCTTCTAACCTTCAAGCTGTCCTTGTTCATTCCTGGGTGTAGGCTGAACTATCTTTGGGAGGAACTTAGTTTATAGTTTAAAACTAATATGATAACAGCACTTTCCCAAAACAAACCTCCTTGCCTGGGGACTAGACTGCCTTTGTAGATAGAACTAACTAATTACTCACAAGATTAGAAATTATGGTTTAGGGGCTTGTCGTAATGGCTCACGCCTGTAATCCCAGCATTTTGGGAGGCAAAGGCAGGCAGATCACTTGAGGTCAGGAGTTCGAGACCAACCTGGCCAATATGATGAAACCCCGTCTCTACTAAAAATACAAAAATTAGCTAGGCCTGGTGGCACACACCTGTAATCCCAGCTGCTTGGGAGGCTGAACAAGAGAATCGCTCGAACCTGGGAGGTGGAGGTTGCAGTCTCCATCCTGGGCGATGCAGTGAGACTCTGTCTCAAAGGGAAAAAAAAAAAAAAAAAACACACATTATAGTTTAGGAGTCCTGCAGCTGGAACCTATAAGATTCTGACCTACCTAAACTGCTGCTAAGATCAGTGCTTGAGATATTTTGCAGACCTGATGCTGGTACCACCCAGATTCGTAAACTGACTCATCCGATCTCCTGGCCTCCACCCAGAAACTGATCAGCCCAAGGAAACAGCTTCGACTCCCTGTAATGACATCTCTGACCTAACCAATCAGGACTCCTGGTTCACCGGCTTCCCCCACCCAGAATGCTGGGGAGACTGATTTGAGTAACAATAAAACTAGGGTCTCCCGGACAGCTGGCTCTGAATTACTTTCTCTATTGCAATTCCCTGCCTAGATAACTCAGCTTTGTCTAGGCAGCGGGCAAGGTGAACCCATGAGGCGGTTTCATTATTTGCTTTACAAAAATCAATAGATAAAACACACTTAAGCCAATGTTTTTATTGAAGCTGGATGAGAGGAACATAGGTTTTATTAAACTATTATCTCCTTTCCCATATATTCTGGAATGTCAAATAAGTTTTTAAAATAAAAACAATATGTGAAAAAAAAATGACAAGTTGCTAAATTAATAAAGGTCATAAAGGAGGATCTGCTGAATACCCAAACAGGGCCTTGTGCTAATCTGTAAAGGAAGGGTTCTATATGCAAACAGATACCTTGGTTGTATGCCAAGCAGCCCAGGATGGTATGTGTTCCTCCTTGTAACATCCCTAAAAACTTGATACTTTCACTGAAAGGACCTTGGTGGCTCAAAAACAAAAAAAACAAAAAAAAAAACCCTTACGTTAGTGTTGCCCTAAGAAATTCTTATAAAAGTCAGGTGTTGAAAGATAGTCAAGCAAGCCAGAAAGTCTTTAGAGACCAGTATATTCTGAGGGCAAACTACAAGGAAACAGATTCAATTAGAAAACTGTGCTAAGTCTGGAGTCAAACCAGAGCTAATGAGAGTGTTAAAATTTATGTAGCAAGGAGTCTCAGCCCCAGCTGTTTGTTAGAAGCACCTGAATATTAATAATTAACATTCCCTGGGCCCACTCTACAGACTGCTATTAGTCTCATTGAACACCAGGTAAAGATTTTTCTAAAGCCTTCCCATGTGACTGTAATGTTGCATTGAGAAAACTGATCTGTAAAGAAATCAAACTATTTTAGGGGATTGTTCTGTGCACTTGCTTTAGAGAACATTTCATAGAATATTTCATTCTGTAAAATAAACATACATTTTGCAAAAGCTCACTCCTTGTAACAGTTCACAAGCAGGATGCCTTTATTGATTAGACTAAAACCAACAACCTAGGCTTTCTAAATCAGTGTTCATGACAATCATCTGAGGTATATACAGAGACTCCAGCCCTACATGGGGATTGAAACAAGCTTCTAACAAGTTCCCAGGTAATGCCCACGCTGCCAGTAATGTAGAAGCCAATCTGGCTTTGGTTTCTGCCACCAATTTCTGATATTGAATCAACTATCGGTCAAAAATGGATCATTTCACAGAAAAGACCAAGAACTGTTTAAAAAAAAAAAAAAAGTGGGGCGGGGGATTGTAGAAATAGCTTACTTCAGACAACAAAAAGCAGCAACCAAGGACATCTGTACCTATTCTCAACTGCCAATGCTCATTAACTGTAAGGTTTTAAAAGGGATTAACTACAAATGCACTACGGAAAAAAAACCCTTCTATAATGAGTGTAAGTAGACAACGCAACTAACGCTTGAGACAAACCATGTATAACATGAACCCAGATGACCCCTTCCACTACCAAATCGAAGCACCAAACCTCTAATAGCCAGCAAAAAATTAAAAATTTAAATTTAAGTTTAAAAAAAAAGGACGTTGACAATCTGGCATGTTCGGGAGAAAGCACGGGAATATAGCAAGCTTACCATTAACTTTAGCCAATCAAATGAGGACTTAAGTACTACCACCAACGTTCAGTTTCAAAGATTCGATTAGTCAATCACAGCTATTTTCGGGTGAAAGTAGGCGGCTCTTAAAAGAGCCTTTGGGTTGGAGAGAATTATTACCCAGAAACCTCTACGCTCTCTCCCCACGAATGCGGCGAGCGAGCTGAATATCCTTGGGCATGATAGTCACTCGCTTAGCATGGATGGCACACAGGTTGGTGTCCTCAAAGAGCCCCACCAAATAGGCTTCGCAGGCCTCCTGCAGGGCCATCACCGCGGAACTCTGAAAGCGAAGATCCGTCTTGAAGTCCTGAGCGATTTCTCGCACCAGGCGCTGAAAAGGCAACTTTCGGATCAGCAGCTCAGTCGACTTCTGGTAGCGACGAATCTCGCGCAGAGCCACGGTGCCGGGACGGTAGCGGTGAGGCTTCTTCACGCCGCCGGTGGCCGGCGCGCTTTTCCGAGCCGCCTTAGTGGCCAGCTGCTTGCGCGGTGCTTTGCCACCGGTGGACTTGCGTGCAGTCTGCTTGGTGCGGGCCATCTCAGATTAACTGGAAGAAAAACTCAGCCACTTGGCAGAGTGGCGACTGCCCTTATATATACTCAGAAACATTCTAATTGGCCTTGTTGATTTTCAAAAGTCCCGCGCAACAAAACCATTGGCTGAAGAGTCCAACGATGTGATTGGTGAATTACTGGAAAGTCTGATTGGATAAATCACTTCATTTTTTAATCCTCTCTTCTCTGTTAGTATGCGATCTAAGAGCGTTAATTTCCTAAAATTCTAATTCTGCGCTTTTCAAGCTGTAGTCCGTAAACGACTACTTTAAGACTTTGGAAGACGCTAATTCTCATTCAGTAGATGTGTTGTGGGGCCAGATTCGGAGGACCACGTTTTGAGAAGTTTATCTGTGGTTTTCCGGAGTAACTTGAACTGCCGCTAGCTAGAAACCTTTGACCATAAGGCAGGATTCCTGGGTGGTGTACCTGGGAAATCACAAGCCAAGAAGTCACCGACATAAAACAGTGAGCAACAAATGTTAACTGAATTGTATTTTGTCCCAAATGGTGTTTTGCTTCGGTTGAGAATTTTTAAAGGATAGACTAACTAGGTTTTCCAACGACTCTCATTTATTTTTCTTGGGTCCTATTGATATTCCAGGCTACCATCCCCACTAGCCTCTTCTGCAGGGTAACTTGAACATTGGAGTGGCCCCGTCCATGTAAACTTTACACAGTTTTGCAAACATTATTGAACTTGCTTCTTCCCGAATACATTAAAGCACTTACTTGCGATATTAGACATTTTCTCATTAGTCCTGTTCGCCTAGTCAGTCACTTGTATAGACAGGGCCACAGTACGGCCTGAATATTGGGCAGGACACCGCCCTGCGCGATAGTAATTTTGCCCAGCAGCTTGTTGAGCTTCTTGCGGTGGATGGCCAGCTGCAGGCGTCGGGGAATGACGCAGGTCTTCTGTCGCGGGCCGCGCTGCCCGCCAACTCCAGGATCTTGGCGGTCAGGTACTCCAGCACCGCCGCCAGGTACACGGGCGCGCTGGCCCCCACCCGCTCGGCGTAGTTGCCGTTGCGGAGCAGGCGGTGCCCTCGGCCCACAGAAAATTGGAGACCAGCCCTGGAAGAGTGCGTTTGAGCCTTGGCGCCAGCTTTGCTGCCCTGCTTTCCACATCCAGACGCAGTGAAGTATTTAAATAATTGTTTAGAAGAGGGAAAGTGACTGGTTCTAGTAAAACGCAACCAGCTAAACTACTATAATCTATATTCGGTAAAGTGGCCTGTGCTATCTCCTGAACGCAGATTTCAGCCAATCGAAAAGCAGGTGTTTAAAAAAAGTAAAAAAAAAAAAAAACTTCTGACTTACATAATTATAGTTGAAAGGTCGAATTATGAGGTTGAGCTTCTGGGAGAGCCAATGAGATTTAGGAATTTAGAAATGGCCTATCGTATATTCAGACATTAAAAGAACCAATCAGAAACCGAAACTCAGCAAGCCTCATTTGCATATACACGGAATAAATAGGAGGGCGTTTGGGCTCGCCAGCATTTCCTTGTGGTCGTTTGACGGTGTTACTTCGGTTGCGAACATGCCAGAACCAGCTAAGTCAGCCCCTGCCCCGAAGAAGGGTTCGAAGAAGGCGGTGACCAAGGCACAGAAGAAGGACGGCAAGAAGCGCAAGCGCAGCCGTAAGGAGAGCTATTCCGTGTACGTGTACAAGGTGCTGAAGCAGGTCCACCCCGACACCGGCATCTCGTCCAAGGCTATGGGTATCATGAACTCCTTCGTCAACGACATTTTTGAGCGTATCGCAGGCGAGGCTTCCCGCCTGGCGCATTACAACAAGCGCTCGACTATCACTTCCAGGGAGATCCAAACGGCCGTGCGCCTGCTGCTCCCCGGGGAGCTGGCCAAACACGCGGTGTCGGAGGGCACCAAGGCTGTCACCAAGTACACCAGCTCCAAGTAAATAGTTACCTGAGTAAAAGCGCCAACGACCCAAAGGCTCTTTTAAGAGCCACCCATGTTGTCGTTTAAAGATCTGTAATTTTCCACAGTTGGCAAGGTAAAATGGCTAAGCAACACATGGGATAGTAAGGGTTTACTAAAACGTCCAAGTTCGGCCGCGCGCAGTGGCTCACGCCTGTAATCCCAGCACTTTTGGAGGCCGAGGAGGGCGGATCACATGGGGTCAGGAGTTCGAGACCAGCCTAGCCAACATGGTGAAACCCCGTTTCTGCTAAAATATACAAAAATTAGCCGGGAATGGTGGCAGACTTAATCCCAGCTACTTGAGAGGCAGAAGAATCGTTTGAGCCTGGGAGGCGGAGGTTGCAGTGAGCCGAGATCGAGCCGTTGTACTCAAACCTGGGGTATAAGAGCGAGACTGCCCTCAAAAAGTCCAGGTTCGTTGTTTTTTCCCCTATAGATTGTAAGCGTCACCAAGGAGTAAGTGCGTATGCAGCTTAATATGAGACATTTCACTCAGCAGCTAAGGAAAAATCGTGTTCTAGATTGATCCCCACTTTTCTTCCCGCACACACCACCTTAAAGCTATGTTTTCGCTTTTAGTTTCACTTTAACATCCTATTGCCCTTGACTTGGAGTAGCCGGGTGGAAATCAAGTTTGGGGTAGTATTAAATCTAAAATAAGCTCTGAGAAAGCGAAATTCGTCTTGTAGTTCGTTGTTAACTTGTAAATGATTGGAGCGGCATTTGACGGAGGAAATCACCTCTGTTGGTTGCATTTCTAAACCATGGCAGATCGCTACCAGACGTTCTCATTATCCCCCTTCCAACTCTACTAATTTCTTTACAAATTTTACTGAGTTTATAATTAATGGATTACTTCACGTAGCTATATATATTACCTCTTGGCAAGATCAGGAACTCTACCATCTTCCTAGCTGAACATATTGAGGTTTAAGAGAAAGAACAGGCAACAGGATAGCCTGAAGTTGGAGCAAAGAAATGAAAATTCCCGGTGCTACATTCATATGCTTTATCTGTAAGCCTTTTTAAGGCTCCAAGGACTGTGTTCTCCCTCAACCACCTCCTCCGTGTCCTGGAACGACTTTGTCCACAGCTACTTCCTTTCCTGAAATTTCATTTTAAGAGAGGAGGGTTACAAGGAATTAACATTTGTGTGGTAGTCCTTAGAATGCATTCATTCATTGATTTTTTTTTTCATACAGTCAGCTGTGAAATGGAATCTCCTCTTTTACAGGTGGATGACTTCAAGAATTTAGGTTAAGTAACTAGCCTCTTACTCATAAATAAAACTGAGATTTGAAGCTACTCTATCTGATTGTAAGGATTACTTCCCACTATTCGTTAGAGAACATCCCAAGCAGAAGCCTAGTTGCTGTCACAGAAGTCAGGAAATTTAGGCTCAATCAATAAAAGAAAACTCGTCAGGAGATACACATATTCTTTGTCACACAGCAAAGTCCTTACACCAGGAAAAGTTTCTTTTAAAAATAAAATAATATTAATGGTGACCTTTGGGCCCTAAAGATCACCTGGCAGCAAGTTTAACTTTTCTGAGCACTATATTCTGGAGGGGAAACCTTGGGCATTGTCAGTGTAAATGTGAGCTCTAAAAATCTTATTTTCTATTTATTACCTACATGTCATTATTTTCTATTTATTACCCACATAGCAGCTTACTATGAACATTAAGTGACCAAAATTTGTTTTTGTTTTAATTTTTTGTTTTGAGACAGGGTCTCACTTTGTCATCCAGACTGAAGTGTAGTGACACAACCACATGCTCACTGCATTCAACCTCCCTGGCTAGTGTTCCCACCTGTCTCCCAAGGAGCTGGCACTACAGGCACGCACCATCACACCCGCTTAATTTTTATTATTATTTTGTTTTTATGATTTTTGTAGAGCCAGGGTCCCACTGTGTTGCCCAGGCTAGTCTCAAAGTAAATTTGTAATGGAATTTGTGAAAAAAATTCTCTAAGCTTCATATATAACTAAAGCATTCATTTCTTGCTCTCCAAAGCTAATTTCAATTAAATTATATATTCGTGAAATATTCAAGCATGGATTAAGGGGGACATCACTCAGGAAGTGATAGTCCTGATTGCCTGTTTCAATCCTACATTTGGGCAATTTATCTAATTCCTCTGTAAGCACTTCCTTACCTGTTTATTCCAAACAGGAATAATAATTAGTAACTACTGCATGACACTGCTGGAGTAACAAATAAAAGGACACAGCTAAAGCACTTAGGACCGTGTCTGCACAGAGGATGACCCCCTAAATATTAACTGGCTAAAGCCTCTGGTTGAAATGATAGAGAAGGTGCCTTTCATCCTGCCCACAATTAAAGCCAAGAGTCCTGAGGCCTGGAATAATTAGCGTTTGATGTGAAAAGGGCTTCTTTGTCTGGCAGTGTAAATAATACTCTTTGAACAGTTCAATCCCCTCTTTAAAGCCATTGCTTTCCTCTGGAGCATTTTGAAGACATCCTACCGCCTGTGGCTGTTTGATTTCCCTATCGTTGCTTGCCAATTCAAGCAACATGTGTCATATTTTCCAGGGACTGTCTCATGCCCTCAGTAGAACTTAGGGGTGCCTCATTTAATGGTCAGATGTGTTGAGTTGTATGGAAGGAAACCTAGAGATTCACGTAAGAATTGCTTAGTACTTTTTTACTCCTTTTTTCTTCCCAAGTTTCCTATTAACTTTGCTAACCTTGCTACATTTATTTTGCATCCATTTGTTGACTGGGTTTCCCTCATATACCTCCAAATCACAGCCATGTTTTTAGATGAACTTCTGCACCTTGATAAGTATGTTCTTTAATTGGAATGTAGGAAATTGGCTGGCTGATGAGGGCCACACTTTCCTGAATCCATTGTATCCTTGAGACATAGGTCACTTCAAAGGAAACTGATTGGTGTAAATTCCTGGCCTGAAAAGCTGAAGAACACCACCTCACCACTAAAAAAGTAACATCATTTTTAGGCTCTGATTTGAGTAGCTGCTACCACTGTATTTGTCACTCCTGCAGTAAATAATTTCTGAAAAGAACCAAGAAGTTACTATCTCCCAACTACCCTCAGCAGTGTATATCTTGATGGCATTCAGAACATACTATCCCAAAATATGGCCCCTTAACATACTGAATATTTTAAGGTGAAAGAATTTGAGAAGCATCATCGGCAGTAAGGTCTCTCTGACTTTTCCCAACTCTTCTCCCCTGAAGCAGGTCATGGGACCCTCCTATGAGTCCTGCAGAGTCTGAGAGAAATCTGAACAAAAAGACCTTGCTAGGTTTCTGTTTCAACCTTAGCTCACAGTCTTCTTTTTGTCCTATTATATTTCTGCATGACTCTCCACTCTTCATCAAACCTAGTGTAAAAATACTCAGGTTTACCCCTTCTCTAGGTTTTCATTTCCTTATGAAGGCTCCCATGTCATGTGAAATTTATATTAAATAAATGTTGCATTAGTCCACTCTCACACTGCTATAAATAAATAACTGAGACTGGGTAATTATAAAGAGAAGAGGTTTCATTGGCTCATAAAACCGCAGGCTGTACAGGAAGCATAGCAGCTTCTGCTTCTGGGGAGGCCTCAGGGAACTTTTACTCATGGCAGAAGGCAAATGGGAAACAAGGCGTCTTACGTGGTGGTGCAGAAGCAAGGGGGAGAGAAGGTGGAGGTACCATACTGTTAAACAACCAGGTGACAAAACTCGCTATCCCAACAGCTCCAAGGGGGTGGTGTTAAACCTTGAGAAACCACCCCTGTGGTCCAATGACCTCCCACCAGACCCCACCTCCAACACTGGGGATTGCAACTGAACGTGAGATTTGGGTGGGAACACAGATCCAAACCCCATCAAATGTATATGCTTTTCTCTCGTTAATCTGTCTTTTGTTACAGGGCCCCAGCCAATGAATTTCAGATGGGTAGAAGGGAAAGCTGTTTTCTTCCCTACAGCACACAGTAGGTGTGGGCGGGCATCTGTGTTCTGTATGTCTGTTTTTCTAGGATAGAGAAGCAGACATAACATTGAAAAAATACAGAGAAAAATAATCCCAGAATGAAAATGTTTGAGATGTGTATTCCTTTGCTAGGGCTGCCATAACAAAGTACCAGACTGGGTGACTTCAACATTTATTTTTTTCACAATTCTGGAGGCTACAATTCTTAAGATTAACCTGTGAGCAGGGTCGATTTCTTCTGAGGTCTCGCTCCATGGTGTGTCGATAACTGTCTTCTCCCTGTGTCTTCACATTATCTTTTCTCCGTGTGTGTGTCCAGTCTTCTTTACTTATAAGGACACCAGTCAGATTGGATTCAGACCCACCTCAATAACTTCATTTTGTATCTTTAACAACCCTAACTCTACATGCAGTCATATTTTCAAGGACTTCAACATATGCAGCAGGGAAGAGGGTAAATCAGTCCATAACAAGAAGCACAGTAATTAGTTTTCCAAATACTATATGAACTAAGTATTCCACAGGTGGCTCAAACCCAGCAGGACCAAGCCTGGCCTCATTATCCTCACAGCTCTGCTTATCCAAGTTTGAAATTTGGTCCTCATCCTAGATTACCACCATTCATTTTCATCATATATTTAAAAATATACAAATTCCTGTTCTATTGATTCTATTTTAACATCATATTTTTGTTTATCATGGCTAAAAATTGGAAATATAAATGTTGAAGAGTAGGAGTTTCACTAAAAATAGGTTTTATCAGGCCCGGCACAGTAGCTCACACCAGCACTTTGGGAGGCCGAGGTAGGCAGATCACTTGAGCCCAAGAGTTTGAGACAGCCTGGGCAATATGGTTAAACCCCATCTCTACAGAAAATACAAAAATTACTCCGGTGTGGTGCTGTGCACCTGTACTCCCAGCTATTTAGGAGACTGAGGTAGGAGGATCCCCTTTAGCCTGGGAGGCCAGAGGTTGCCAGTGGAGCCAGATGCCGCTTACGGGCACTCCAGCCTGAGCAACAGAAGAGAGAACACTGTCTTAAAAGAAGAAAAAAGACAAAAAAAAAAAAAAAAAAGGTTTATGCATAATGAAATACTGTGCAGCTGTTAAAACTAATGTCAAAAAAAATAAACATAAAATATGCTTGAAGGACAGTACTTTGGGAAAGGTGCCAAATCATATTCTCATTTATATTAAATATCATACTAATGTGTTAGTATAGTTTACAGGATAAAAAACTGACTAGAAAGGCTCATATGCCAAAATGTTTAAACATTCGTTGCATTCTTTGGGATGAAAGTCAGCTCCTCTGGAGACGACTTTGCTCTATCTGACTGTCTCTAAAACCTCCCAATGCTGTGATTAAGAAAAAGAAGTTCTGGGCCGGGCGCGGTGCTCAAGCCTGTAATCCCAGCACTTTGGGAGGCCGAGACGGCGGATCACGAGTTCAGGAGATCGAGACCACCCTGGCTAACACGGTGACACCCCGTCTCTACTAAAAAATACAAAAAACTAGCCGGGCGAGGTGGACCGGGCGCCTGTGTCCTAGCTACTCGGGAGGCCTGAGCGGAAGAATGCGGCGTGACCGGAGGCGACTTCGCAGCTGACGCCTGAGATCCCGGCCCCCACTCGCCACTCCAAGAGCGAGTCCAACGTCTCAAAAAAAAAACAAGAAAAAAGAAAAAGGAACGGTGTCTCCATGAAGCTTTCCTTCCAAGTTTCCCCAATTCTGTGGTTAAGAAAAATAAAGAGTAAATTTTTCTTTTTTCTACTGCCCTCCCAATATTGCCAGGAAAAAATAATTAACTTGAACATATCAATTATTGAATACCAACTAGTATCACCAGTATTAATTCTAGTTTGGTATCATAAAAATATGATATAGATAATTTTAAGATTCAATTCCTCTTACAAGGAAATTTGAAAAACACACCGCACAGAAAAGTTACCCTAGTATTAAAGATAGAGTAACACTTAAGTGAACCCCACTTTATCCACGCAGCGTACTCTATGGTTCTTGTTTATAAAATATATGCCACTAGTGACTCAAAGGAGGATCCAAAATGGGAAAAGTCCAAGCAAAACCTTGCCAATATTAATTCTGTAAAAAGACCAGAAAAAAAGCCCATCTAAGGAAATTTTCATGCCAAGAAGCATGCAAGGCAAGGTTTACCTCAGGAGAACGTAGTCGGGGGATTAGCAGATGAGAAGAAGGTTTGTACATATGTAGTACCTGGGTTGGCAAACTGGGTCCAATGCCCATGGTCATTATATTATCCCTTATAATCCTTGTATATGGATTGTAATACTTTTTTTTTGTTTTTTTTTTTTTTTCAGGCGGAGACTGCCCTGCCCACCCAGCTGGATGGTATCCCGCAATCTCGTTCAACTGCAACTCCCCTCTTCCTTGGTTCAGCAATTCTCCTACTCTTAGCCTCCAGAGCTACCTGGACTCAGCACGCACCACCATGCCCCGCCTATCTTGATTCTTGGTAGACATGGGGTCTCTTCCACTATTGGCCAAGCCTGGGTCTTGCTCTCCTGACCCTCCGGGGTGAATCACCCTGCCTCAGCCTCGAGAGTTCTAGCATCTACACAGCATGCACTACAGCACCCGCTGCCTACTTTTTTTTAGTTTTTTTTTTTGAGCAGGAGGCGGCCGCGTGGCTTTCCAAGCCTGTAATCCCGCACTTTGAGGCCAAGAGGGCCGGATTCACGAGGTCACGAGGATCGAGGACCATTCCTGGCTAACATGGTTGCAAACCTGTCTCTACACTACAAAAATACAAAAAATTAGCGGTGGTTGGGGGCGGGGCCCGCTTGTACATCCACGCTACTCCAGCGAGGCTGAGGCAGGGAATGCGGCGTACGACCGGGAGGCGGAGCTTCACGTGACCTGATCTGGCCACTGCACTCACGCCTGGGCGACCGAGAGACTCGTCTCCAAAAAAAAAAAAAAAAAAAAAGACGAGCCAGGATGTCGCCGTCGCCCCAGCGCTGGATCAGGGTGCGATCTCAGCTCACTGCAAGCTCCGCCTCCCGGGTTCACGCCATTCTGCCTCAGCCTCCCCAGTAGCTGGGACTACAGGCGCCTGCCATGGCACCCAGCTAATGTTTTGTATTTTTTGTAGAGACGGGGTTTCACCAGATCTCCATCTCCTGACCTCGTGATCCGCCCACCTCGGCCTCCCAAAGTGCTGGGATTACAGGCATGAGCCACTGCACCCGGCCTACATTCTTTTATATGTATCTAGAATTATAAATTTTGAAGCAAATAAAGTAACAACAATGAACAAATGTATTCATGGAAAAGTCATCTCGCCTTCCATAAAAACAAAACCTCCATAAATATTGCTTGTATTAGAAATTTGGTTATAAAAAAGGCAATCTCTCCAAAAGTCTGTAGATGCTCAAAAGACCAGGCACTTTACGAAAATCACTGCTAATATACAAGACTTGCTGTGTAAAAGACAGTTCTTGAAATACCTTCCTTTTCTGCCAGAAGGCCATAACCTAACATGTATACTAAGGTATTTCATTTTATCAACTGTAAATTAATTTAGATTTATATTCATTTTATTTATATTCATCTAGGTATTTGTTAAGATAAACACATAATTTGAGTCTAATATACTCAGCGTAAGAACTAGTTTTGTGAAAGGTGTTAGAATTGTGACATAATCAGAAGCAAAGCAGGGAGGGGAGATTTTGTATGGTTCCCTGCTGTCCAGAAAAAAGTTCACATTCGTGTCATTGGCCTAACAGCCAGGAACTATCACTTCTGATACTGACTTGAATTACACTCATCTGACATTCCATGTAATATTCCATTCCTGCTTTCCTTTTCATAAGCATATGTTTTCACTCTCCAAATAGACTGCAGGATCATTAGTAGCAGGGAAAAATATAGTGGGAAGGCCGTGGGGAAGGGAGGAGGATTGTAATGCCAGTGGGGTTACAACACAGAAGGTGTCACTTGAAAGAAGTGAGGCAGCAACACTTAAATCTAGAAGCTGAATTGCCCACACAAAGGGAACTGTCAGTATATAGTCCCTGAAAGAGATACATACTTCCAGCAAGTTCGAGAGGCTAGCGGAGCTGGTCAAGGAAGGAAAGGAGGAGTAGTGGGATTTGAGGCCAAAGAGATAACAACAGCCAGAGTGGGGACTTGCAAGGTACTGAAAGGACTTTGGGTTTTCCTTTTAGTGAAATGAGAGCCATTGGAGGATTTTCAGCAGAAGAGTGACCTGATTTTACTCACCCTTTACTGGAAATCTGTGGAACAGAACTAGGCAATGAGGGTGCTACAACAATAAAGGTGAGCGTTGGCAGTGGTTTGACCAGAAGTGGGAATGAGAAACAGTTGGATTCTGTTTTCAAAGAGCTCATAGAACTTACTGATGGATTGTTATGTAGGATGTGAAAGGAAACGACAGAAATGACTCCAGCTAAAACAGTAAAATGCTGTTCACTAATTTCAAGATGATGGGAGAAGCTGTTTTGCAGACATAATGAAAGAAATTGAAGCTTATTTAAGTTTGAAGTGCATATTTATTGGACTTTCAAGTTGAGATGTCAAGTAGCAGGGTCTCTAGAATATGGAATACAAGGCTGTGGGCTACTGACTTAACATCCACAATATGAACATATGGGCAGCATCTCCACAGCAACAAACATCAGTTCAAAATAATCAGACAGATTTTCATCCTCCACGTCCATCTTCTCAGATCCATCAGGAGCCACAGAACTAAGGGAAGAAAAAAGGCAGCATCAAATATAGAGCTGTCAAGTTGAGTTCCACAAATACGTTTCAGGAGGCCTGAGAACTCCTGGAATTGCAAGCAAAATATATGGGGAAAGTGGGCACATTTTGAAAAAGGTATGAATATCTATCACTGGGTCTCCAAAGTAACCCCTTCATGGTTCTAACTTTAACAGGTTATTTGAATGAAAATTGCCATATTATTGCATACCCTTATTACCAAGGGCATTTTTCCACATTTGTAAAATAGGGATAACTTTTTCTGCGTGCTCCAAAAATTACGGAAACAGACAATTACTAAAGAAAGCACTTGTAAAACTGCAAGTTAGGAATCCAGATGTCGTACGTACAAAGCAAACATTCCTTACTTCTGTAACCCAGGGCTCAGTCCTTGCACTGGTTATCTTCATTATCAACCCTCTTTTCCTAAGAGATGTCATTTCACCTTCTGGCTTTTTTACTCTCATAGGAGTAAAAACTCTCAATTACGTTTCCAGCCGAGACTTCTTTTCTGAACTCCAGATTTGTGTATCAAACTGCTTACCTTCGTATATCTTCCTCTTAGATATGTGTAATAAGCATCTCACACTCTCTCTGGATGTCCAAAACTAAGATATGGAATTCTTCCCAAAACTTGTTCCTTGAGTATTCTTCCCCGTTTTTAGCAACTGATACCTCCATTTCAGTTGCTGTCAGTGAAATAACTGGAATCATCCATAAATTTTCTTTCTCTCATACTCTACACACTCAGTGGCTCAGAAATGAACTATCAACCTTCTTTCAAAATAAATAAAGAATCCAACAACTTTTCAGAGCCTCTACCACTAATACACAGAGCAAGCCACTGCCATCTCAACTCCTTTTTTTTAGTACCCTACTAACTGATCTCTGCTCCTATCCAGGCTCCATCACAGTTTATTCTTCATTAGGCATCCAGACAGCTCATTTTAAAATATAAATCAGATCATCTCAGTCCTCTGCTCAAAACCCTGAGTGGCTCCCACCTCACTAGGAATAAAACCAAAGTAGTTACACTGGCCTACATACAAGGCCATATAGGAACAGCTTGCCTCCATTTGCCTTTCAGACCTCATCTCCATTCCTCTGCACCTCTTCTGCCCTTTTACCCAGCCACAATAACTCTGCTATCTCCAGGCTTTGCTACTTGGTCTTCTATTTGGAATATTCTTTAGTCTTTATTTCTCCACTATCGCTTTATCAGTAAAGCTTTCCTTGACCCTATCATTTAAAATGACCACCTTCTCGACTGGGCGCGGTGACTCACACCTGTAATCCCAGCACTTTGGGAGGCCAAGGCAGGCGGATCACATGAAGCAGGAGTTCAGGACGAGTCTAACCAAACATGTACTAAAAATACAAAAATTAGCTGGGTGTGGTGGTGCATGCTTGTAATCCCAGCTACTCGGGAGGCTGAGACACTAGAATTGCTTGAACCCAAGCGAGGTGTAGGTGGAATGTGCCGAGATCGCACCACTGCACTGCAGCCTGGGCAACAGAGCAAGACCCTACCTCAAAAAAATAAACATCACCTCCTCCCTCTGTAGCCTGTTTCAGTGATAGCACTTAGCACTATCTGATAGTTTTACTTACTTCATGTGTGAACGCACACCCAATAGACTCCATGCATACAGAAAATACTGTTTTGTTCACTGTCATTCACTCCTATAATTCTCAGAGCCATTAACGGTACCTGGCATATGTTACGTGCTCAATTTTTGTTGTTGTTAACTTTATGTCCTCATACAAACCAGTGCTTTAGCTCCGATAACATCGTTCTTTTCATATTAATGCACAAGTCCATATCTTTGAAAAAGATGACACTCAAAGTAACTCCATTGATTTTTCCCAATTTCAAACTTAGAACCCTACAATTTGCTTGCTGACCACAAAGAGGAAAAATCTGATTTTACAATGTAACTATCATCCTAAACCAGCAATTGTCCTATTATCTTCAACGTAGATAAACCAGACATATGTCTCTGATGTGGTGCACCAGTATGTACATATAAACTCTTCCTGACAAGAATATAAACCTGATTTCAACTAAGTATACAAAAGTCACTTCTGCTCAGGACAGAGTATAGAAACCAAGTAAAATGACACCATTAGAAAAGCCAATCCAGGCCGGGCGCGGTGGCTCACGCCTATAAATCCCAACACTTTGGGAGGCCGAGGCGGGCGGATCACGAGCTCAAGAGATGGAGATCATCCTGGCCAACATGATGAAACCCCATCTATACCAAAAAATGCAAAAATTAGCTGGGCGTAGTGGCGCGAGCCTGTAGTCACTTGGGAGGCTAAAGCAGTAGAATCAATTGAACCCGGGAGGCGAAGTTCCAGTGAGCCAAGATAAAACACTTCACTCCAGCATGGCGACAGCGTGAGACTCAGCCTCAAAAAAGGAAAAAAAAAAGCCAATCCAAATCTCCTACAGGTTTGGTCTCTAGCAAATCATTGTCCTGATGCCTGAATGTATACTTTTTCAAAAGGCTAACACTGCTGGTTAACAATTTTAAGTTTTAGTGGCCCGGCTTAGTGGCTCATGCCTGTAAATCCCAACACTTTGGGAGGCTGAGGCGGTCAGATCACGAGGTCAGCAGTTCGAGACCAGCCTGGCCAACACGGTGAAACCCCATCTCTACTAAAAATACAAAAATTAGGTGGGCGACTGTAATCCCACCTATTTAGGAGGCTGAGGCAAGAGAATCGCTTGAAACTGTAAGGCGGAGGATCGCGCCACTGCACTCCAGCCTGGACCGAAAGAGAAACACTCCGTCTCAAAAAAAAAAATAGGTTTTGGTGATGTTTCTATATTGCTCACTAAGCGATACTCTACCTTTTAATGTTCTTATAATACGCAGAAACACATTTTATTAGGTCTATTGGAAACAGTACTTAATAGCTCTCGAATGAACATTTATATTGTTACCCCACACTGCCTTTTGCTGACCAGTTTTGTCACCAAGTCAAAAGCAGCAGCGTACACGCCGCCTGTACTTAGATTTACGATCCTACTCAGGGAGATCTGTTGCGCTCACGGATTCGCCTTTAAGGACCGCCGCCTGGATGCGAGCCTTCTTTGTTCTCAGTCCTCCCCGCCATTTTGAAAACAGTAACGTGGAGTCTTCCCCGAGTTTCCTACAACTTCCGTAATCCTTGAGATCCTTACGAACATTTCAAGCTTAAACTGAAAAGGAAAGCGCCATGAGAATTATAAACCGTGCCAATACAGCTTACTCACTGCTATCTAACGCCCTAAGGTGTCCAAGAAAACTAAACGTTAAACATACCAACTACCCCCAAATAGGAAACAGTAGTAACTTTTAAGTTTTTTGTGCCCAAATCCTAAACATGCGCGATTAACCACGAGAAATTAAACGTTACCTGCAAATGCACACTAGTGCACGACTGCTTTTTCAGCAAAAACCTGGAACAGGATAACAAGATGTCCGCTCTTTTACGAAAAATTGGGCGGCCCTAAAAAGGGCCTTTGGTTGTAAAGAGAAATACTGAGTGGAGTAAGCGGGAGCCTTAACCACCGAAACCGTAAAGAGTGCGTCCCTGTCGCTTCAGCGCATAGACCACATCCATTGCTGTTACAGTCTTGCGTTTAGCATGCTCCGTGTAAGTAACTGCATCACGAATCACGTTCTCCAGGAACACCTTCAGAACACCACGTGTCTCCTCATAGATAAGGCCAGAAATACGCTTGACACCGCCGCGGCGAGCAAGGCGCCGGATGGCTGGCTTAGTAATGCCCTGAATGTTGTCCCGCAAAACCTTGCGGTGACGCTTAGCGCCTCCTTTACCTAAGCCTTTCCCACCCTTACCCCGTCCAGACATGACTGACCAACTCTCAAAACCGCTTTCAGGAACCTAAAGGCCGAGGAAAGCAACGACGCCCTTATATGCAGGGAATTCGGACCTAGTTGAAGACTGAAAGCGCGCATACGGGAACTTTGGTCCTGCTCCTTGGTCTCACCCTATGCAGCCCCGCCCTGGATGACGTCACCAACAACGTCAGCCTTTGACATCTGAGCGCGGGTTCCGTGGAGGCGTCTCTCGCAATTGCTGGGAAATAGGAATAGGAGTTTTACGGCTGTTTTAACAGCTAAATCAGATTAAAGAAATCAACATGTTTAAATTATTATCAATTGTTTCTTGAGTTGCTTTAGGACAATTGGAGACGAGCTTCGGTCCACAGGACCGAAAGCCTGAGGAGTCCAGCTTTGTCCCCAAGGTCACAGTGACTGGCATTTCTGCTGCCTGCTGTAAAGCACATGCGGACCGAAACCTCCTTCGGAAGTGTTTGACCATTGCAAGATTTCACCCTCTCTATCATCAAGCCAAGGGAAACGTAACCAAAACGGTTTTCTTCCCGATGGCGAAGACATGGTAGGTTAGTGATTCGTGGTAGAATTATCCCCCTCCGCGCGGAGGCTTGATTCTATTCCCAGTTTGTTCTCTTCTTTCCCTACTTATTAAAATTTGTAATTGCCATTTCAATATCTAAGTGCCCCTCACAACTGCACCCAGTGTGTGGGTTTCGGGGTGGGTTTTGGGGTTTTTTTTTTTTTCCTTTTTTTATTTTATTGAAACAGGGTCTTGCTATGTTGCCTGCGTTCGTCTCCCGAAGTGCAGTGACTGCAGGCGTGAGCTACTACAGAGTGACTCTCGCACCTAGCCCACTAGTGTATTGATGTTTACTTTTCTATCCCTAGTTTTGTTTTCTGTTTGATTCTGGTAGACGCCTTTTTCCAAAGTGAGTTGGCAACCTGTGGTACCCAAAGTATGAAATAGGCAACTTATCGTAGGCTCGCTCTTAAAATACGAGGTGGTCTGAGCGCATTGCCTATAAGTAGTTAAGAGTATTGTGAGGAAGACTTGTTGGCGGAGTAGCAGAGTGGCGCAGCGGAAGCGTGCTGGGCCCATAACCCAGAGGTCGATGGATCGAAACCATCCTCTGCTAGGTACTTTTTTTTTTTTTTTTTTTTCCTTGTCTCTTCCGGATAATTTTTTTTTCTAGTTACAATTTTTTTAGGTTAAACAATAATGAAAGAAAACAAAATTAAACCAAGTATTTTTTTAATTCCAGAATTACAAGCACTTCTGAGAAATAATGTGAAACTACAATCTCTGCATGTACCATTTTTATTTTCATGGACACCCAAGTGTTATTAATCAATATTTCATCTCTAAACACAGCAAATTTCTCTTGTTGCCAAAGTGCCGTGCCACTGTTGCAGCCAGTTATGACAGTTGTAAGTTAATCTGCAAAGCAAAGAAAATGCTTACATAAACCGAGTGCCAAGGGTGGGGTGGGAGCCCAGGAATGGAGTTTTATATCCTTTGATACATAATTCGGAAAGCACTATTTGCCAAGTAGTTAAGGCGATCAACTAGGAATCCCTAAATCCCCACGCAGATTCTCTGCACCTACGAGGGTCTTAATCTCGGGAAATGAGTTGCATTTTGAGGTGGGTGTGGAGTCTTCATAGCACTGATTGAACTCTGACCTGAGAAAAGCATTTCTGCTGACACTACTGTTAAATGTGTCTCTACTCTCTACCGTCCTTTAATATTTCAAATAGAACTATTCACTGTGCTTATTTTTTAAACATCTGTGTGGACTGTTTTATGCTTCTCTCTCTCAGAAAGGATTCCTATTCAGATATTTATGTGTCACATACTGGATTAGGAACTAAGGAAAAAAAAAAAACCTTAAGTACCTTAAGTAGTCTACAGTCTAGATATGCTTTTGTTGTTTTTGTTTTTTGTTTGTTTGTTTTTGAGATGGAGTCTCGCTCTTGTTGCCCAGGCTGGAGTGCAGTGGCACGATCTTGGCTCATTGCAACTTCCACCTCCTGGACTCAAGCAATTCTGCTGCCTCAGCCTCTCAAGTAGCTGGGATTACAGGTGCCTGCCATCACACCCAGCTAATTTTTGTATTTTTAGTAGAAACAGGGTTTTACCATGTTGGCCAGGCTAGTCTTGAACTCCTAACCTCAAAAACTCCACCCGCCTCGGCCTCCCAAACTACTGGGATTACAGGCTTGAGTCACCGCTCCTGGCCCATATGCTTTTAAACAAATAAATATGTAGAGTGCAATACAGTAGTTCTGTGAAAGGATTGTACACTAAGTGCACTGGGAATAAGGAAAATGGTGCTTGTAGTCCCATGACCACCCACTAATTCAGTAATTCACTGGAAGTAATCACATGACTCAACACACTCTCAGTTAGGATTTATTATAGCTATTGACCATTTTTTGTTTGGGTTAAAGAACATGTTTTAAAAATAAAAACAAAAAAGATTAATTATAGCACAGGATACAATGCAAAAAAAGCAGAAAAAATATATATACACAGTTGAATGTGGCTGTTACTATAGGACTGAACAAAGGAGGATGAACGCAGAAATGAAGACAAAGACAAAAGGATTTGTTTAAAAGAAGGGGTCAGGGGGTTCCTTCCTTCTAGAGAACAAGGGCCCTGAGCTTCTACAGCCCTTCATATTTATTAGGTAGAGTTAACAGGGAGGAAGGGGTAACTGTCGGTCAGCTACTGGATGTATCACAGGCTCACATGATTGCTTTCTTTGTTCAACAGACTACAGATGTTCCTGTAGATAACCTTAAGGAACCACGGTGCCTGGGATGTGATTGCCCTCAGCATTCCTTCTGGTGGCAGATGCAGTTGTCAGTTTGCCAACATCCTGCTTTCATGAGAACAGTTTGCTGTTTGCTCATATAGCCTCCAGTGGCATATTGAGTTGGCCATGTCTCTCATTCCTTTGGCCTTCAACATCTCCCCCTTTTTGTTTTTGCATTAATTGAATAAAGGCAATTCCAGGCTGTGCAGCTTTCAATTGCCAGTTGGTGGTACAGCCGATTTTACAGACTATGAACAGAAAACAGAGACACAGTAACATTATTCCTATAATTATAAAAGAGACATTGAGGTCCTGTTTAAAGTAGGTCCAAGGGTTAAGGTTCTCTAAACCTTGCTGGAATTAGGTCCAAGTTTCTACAGAGGGCTGATACTCTTGAGTTTGCTTATTCAAATCAAGAATTTTACTCTGTAAATCATTAATATCGAAAGTAACATTGGATGTAAAAGCCCCTGCAAATGGGCCTTTACAAGTCTCCTTGGATATTCACTTTGATTATATTCCAAGTTAGTTACACAAATATGAGTATGGTTAAAATGACAATGCAATTGCTGCTGCAACTGCAAACTTTGTATTTGTTCTCCTAGCCACAGGACAGTAGTCTTTAACATTGCCACCTCTGTTTGTATTTTGGTGTTAATTTTATTTTGAAGCATCCATGCCTTGTTGGCCATATGCGTCCAATTTTCCACATATTGGGCTGTTTGAATAGAGCTGTGCAGTGCTACTGAAGACACTACAACAGAGGTTATTAGTGTAGCTAGGGAGACTATAGCAAAAAATACCATAACTAAGGCTTTACGAGCACAATGAGTGAACTGAGTAAGAAGGAGTTGTACAAAATGTAAAGCAGGGGATAGCCACCCAAGGCTCGAACAAATTGACAGGAATCCATAATCTGGGAATGTGACCTGGAATTATTAAGGTGGATATGTTGTGTGTTTGTATCATGCTATGATTTAGGCAGTGATACAGTTGACAGGAGTCACAAGTCAATTGGGTGACGTTTACCTGGAGTTGGTCCTTTTTAGCCACCAGAAAGATATAGGGATTAAAAACACAAATTGTAAATTGAGTGGTAATATTTCTTACAAAGATAACATTAAAACTGTGTTGAGTCCTATTACTATTATTGGATAGTGTCCTGACCCAGATGCTGCCATTCATAAATGGGAGTGCTGACTTCCATATTGACTCCTAAACTGGGCCCCTCTTTCTTTGATTATGCCACCGAGGCAAAGATGGACTGAAGCCGGTTCCATGCCAAGCAAGTTGTGCAGTAGATTGGGATCGAATCCCAACGTGATATAGCAAAGAAATATTAAATATTCACCACCAGTGGTAGTGAAGTTTGTGCCATGAGGTCTGATTCTCATCTCTCCCATCCAAATGACCACAGGGACCCCAGTCAATAATGTCTCCCATTAACATAGACTGTTGGCTGGGCGCGGTGGCTCAAGCCTGTAATCCTAGCACTTTGGGAGGCCGAGACGGGCGGATCACGAGGTCAGGAGATCGAGACCATCCTGGCTAACATGGTGAAAGCCCGTCTCTACCAAAAATACAAAAAACTAGCCGGGCGAGGTGGCGGGCGCCTGTAGTCCCAGCTGCTCAGGAGGCTGAGGCAGGAGAATGGCGTGAACCCGGGAGGTGGAGCTTGCAGTGAGCTGAGATCCGGCCACTGCACTCCAGCCTGGGCGACAGAGCGACACTCTGTCTCAAAAAAAAAAAAAAAAAAAAATAGACTATTGTCTAGCTAAGGGGCTAAGACATGGGATCCTAGGAGGGGGGTGAGAATTATTGAAGGGAGCCCATTCTATATAATCAATACACTTTGGGCGATGGGGCCAGGAGAGATTAGTCAATCCACCAGTAATATTAATAGAGCTAAGGCTTAAGAGGTACATAATTTTTCCATGGTGACTCAACCATGCCTGGGATTGGACTGGAAGGCAACTGCCATTGAGCGACGTATCCTTGGTGATACATAAAGGGAATCCCTCCAATGGGGCGGTGTAATTGATACTATTGTTCTGAGAATCTAATTGTTCTCTGTCGGGGGAGTTAAGGGTCCTGGAGTCCATGCTCACTGATCACGATATACCTCAGGAGGAGTGTTACTCTGGAGTACAAGTCACACTACTCAGGGGTTAGGAACAGATGCCCAATATGTTTTTGTTTCTACACAGGGGAAACACACCGCACAGGACACTGCAGCTAGTATGGCCAAGACCATCGAGTCAGGAGTTTTTGCCTGACCCTGACACTCCAGCATTTTCTCAGCTTCCTGCGTGGTTTTCTTGATCTGTCCCCATGTTATCGGGGTGGATGTCAATGTGACTCCAGTCAGTCCTCGTTCCATTTTCGCATTCAGATTCAACTAGCCTATGGCTTGTACTGG